TACAGCTCTTTTAAAAACGTGAACTAGGGGCGCCTGGGTGGCGCAGTCGGTTGAGCGTCCGACTTCAGCCAGGTCACGATCTCTCGGTCCGTGAGTTCGAGCCCCGCATCAGGCTCTGGGCTGATGGCTCAGAGCCTGGAGCCTGTTTCCGATTCTGTGTCTCCCTCTCTCTCTGCCCCTCCCTCATTCATGCTCTGTCTCTCTCTGTCCCAAAAATAAATAAACGTTGAAAAAAAAAAATTAAAAAAAAAAAAAATAAATAAATAAATAAAAACGTGAACTAATCAAACCCAAATTTATACATCTTAAAATTGTTATTTTTAAAATTGGAATATAACATACATATCTAAAAATAGGGGGTTGTAGGATTTTAATATACCCACGCAAAAGAATAGAATCAAGTCATTATGAATACTGATATAGAGGTAAAATACTTACATGGAAAACTCTAACAGTTAATTAAAAAGTATGCAGATTGAAAATAGTAAGTTCAACTTTTGTTAATAAGGATGTGTTTATTACATGAGATCAAAATGTAAAAATTAGACATGTTACTTGTTACAGTAAAAATATGTTATCAAGAACAAATGGGAATTACTAAAAATTAATATTAGAAAGGTAAAGTAAAAAAATATGAAAAGCAAGCAGGAAATTGAAAAGATGAATAAAAATATGAAAACTTACCACAAGTACATAAAACATAAAAACATCAGTTGGCAATTGGAAACATTTGCTTTAATTTATTTTAAGGTTTATTTATTTTGAGTGGGAGAGAGAGAGAGAGAGAAGGGCAGAGAGGGAGAGACAATCCCAAGCAGGCTCCACACTGTCAGCACAGAGCTTAACACGGGGCTCAAATGAACCCCAGGATCATGACTGAACTGAAATGGAGAGTCAGACGCTTAACCGACTGAACTATCCAGGCGCCCCAACATTTGCTTTATTTTTTATCTACACAAGTTATACATGAATGAGCTCTTGTTGGAAATATTCAGGAAGTATTGATGAAACACGGTCCCCTTGGTCATTCTGTCTCCCAGAGGTAACATCTATTATACTTGATGCATAGTCCTCTAGACTTTTTCTCGTATGTATTAAATATATTATTTTGTTTAACTTTTTAACTTAACCATATGTCTTAGAGTCTTTGCCTGTCAGCGCATCTAGATTTAACCCATTTTTTTCAATGCTACGTACTATTTCAGAGTATATACACAGGCTTGTGACTGAGCTCTTTTCCCTTTACTTGTCTATTTATTCACCCAACGATAATGTATTGCCTCGCAGAGTTCCATTCTGGGGCTAGAGTTGGAGGAGCCCAGAGTCCTTGTTCAAGTCCATCATCTTTAAAAAAAAAAAATTGAAGTTTCTGCCCTCCCCACCCCCAAACCAATGCTGTGGGCTCACCTCCACTTTCTGTGTCGCTGAGTGGGGTGTGCGTTCGCAGAGGGAGTGGGGGATGGGGGGAAGGAATGCATGAGGTGTCTCAGTAAGAGTGGTGGCCCCAGCAGCTTTGGAACGCTGACAGTCATTCGCCTCACCCTTTGAGAGCCTGACATATGGCAGAAAATATTGCTTTAAAGATTCACCTGCAGGAAATACTGCTTTAAAGATAACACCTGCATGATGTATGAAGGCTGGTGCAAAACCGGATGCTATCAGAAATTTAAGTCTATGGTTTTCTTATTTGTTCGGATGAGTAGGGACTCAGCTCAGTTTTAAATAACTTGACTCTCCTTTCCATTGCTTAAGTTTATTTAATAAAAGTTGGTTCCACCCGGTAGTGGCGGGATTAAAATGCAAAGTCATGCATGCTTAGAGTCAATTTATATCTGTGTGGAAAGTTATTATTATTTTTGCCTAAACAGGCTATATATCATGCTGGGCACTCCTACTGCCAAGAATCTGAGATCATTTTATTTGAGATGTGGTTCGCTTTGGTTGGTCTCAGAAGCTCTGCAGGGCATTGGGGTGGGGGTGGGGGGGGAGATGTGCCCGTCCATGTTTTTGTGTGCATCTATTGTGAAAAACTTAGACATTGGAATAAAAACAAAACTTTATCTCAGATGAGAGGGAATAAGGTTCTTATTACTGTTACCTGGACCCCTTTGTCATTTCCACAATTAGAACTTATTTTAGAGACTTGTGTTTGTGTGCGCAGGAGTTGGCATGGGTAATTAACAATCCCCGCTTTCCCAAAGTCCAACAGAACGGCAGAAAAGTCACTTTAACGCAAAGACATAAACAATAAACACGGAAACAAAAAGGATAGGAGGAGGGACTGTGTCAGGTGAAGGATCAATTGGGAGCATTTTTACAAGTGGGAAAATGGAAGCGAAATGGTAACTAGTTGAATTAGGAGAAGGGGCAGAATCTGGAATCTTAGAATTTCTATCAGGGGACGTCAAGAAGCAGCCAGCCAGTGTAAGCAGCAGGTGTGGCCGAGACCGGTCCGGGCTGAGAGAGGAGGAATAGTTGACCCTAGGAACAGTCACCCTTCTGGTTTCTTCTCTTGCCGCAGACTCTCCAGGAGACACAGCCCAGCAGGAGGTGGGGACGTGGAAACATGACAGATGCAGACACATAGCTTATGACAGAAACACGAATAAATTAGGTTATATTACAAACCAATGTAATTTTGTCCACAAGATAACTTACTTTGGATCAAGGAATTACTTTATGCATATGATTGATGTTGTGTGTGTGTGTGTTGCATGTGTGGTGTGGTGTGTGGTTTATGTGAGTGTATGTGTTGTGCATGTTGTGTGTTGTGTGTGTTGTGTCTATTGCGTGTACTTGTGTGTGTGTTATGTTTGGTGTTTGTTGTGTATTGTGGGGGGGGTATGTTGTGTGTGTGTTGTGCGTGGTGTGTGTGGTGAGTGTGTTGTGCATGTTGTGTGTGGTGTGTGTGTGGTGTGTGTATTGCGTGTGGGGCGTGTGGTGTGGATGGCTTGTGCGTTGTGTATGTGGTATGTGTATATTGTGCGTGGGGTGAGTGTCGTATATACTGTGTGTGTGGTGTGTGGTATATATATGTTGTATGTGTTGTGTGTGTTGTGTAGATTGTGTGTAGTGTGTGGTGTGTATGTTGTGTGTAGTGTATATGTGTTGTGTATGTTGTGTGGGGTGAGTGTGTGTATGTATGGTGTGTGTGTTGTGTGTAGTGTGTGTTGTGTGTGTGTTGTGCATGTTGTGTGTGGTGTGTATGTGGTGTGTGTACTGTGTGGGGTGAGTGTGTGATATGTATGGTGTGTGTGTTGCTTATGGCGTGTGTAGTATGTGTTGTGTGCGTGTTGGGGGCGGGGGATGTAGCATCTAAACGTTGCCCCCCTTAACCCCTCACAGCTCTTCTCCAAGAGCATTCTTTCGTCTCTTCTAAATTTTGAGGAGGGTACCTTTTGGGAGGAGCACTGGGTGTTGTATGGAAACCAATTTGACAATAAATTTCATATTAAAAAAAATAAACAAATAAACACAAGATCCACGTTTCCGCTCTTTCTTCCTCTAACTTCCCTGCCGTGGAAGTCAGGCTCACGCCTGCCGTCTCTGCGATGCCCATCCACCTTGACCTTATCAGTCCTTTGTCCTCTGCCCCTGTGGCCCGAACTGCCCTGGCATTTAGAGTGGGTGGTCTCGGATTGTTGTTTTACTCTCAGTTGTTTTCTGTTCAACTAGCACTTGTGTCCTACCATAAAAGTTTTGTTTTATTTTCTCTCACTTCCATGTTAAAAGGTGAGGCATATGTACTTTACCTCATTCTATAACAGCATGACTGTAGAACAGGGGGGCGGCCATAGTTTTTAGCAGGCAGAGGCTGACCCAGATCATAGATTGCAGTTTGCTTTCGTGGACTCAGAGTGTAGCCCTGCATATGCATGTGTTGATCAAGATTTCACTTGCTGGAGTTCGTATGCTTTTTTAGTAAAGTCCTCAACAGATCAGTTCTTTTTCTGCAGTGGTTGTATTTTTATTTATTTATTTATTTATTTATTTATTTATTTATTTATTTATTTAATTTTACATTTATTTTTTATTTTTGAGAGACAGTGAGACAAAGTGTGAACGGGGGAGGGGCAGAGAGAGGACACATAGAATCTGAAGCAGGCTCCAGGCTCTGAGCAAGCGGTCAGCACAGAGCCTGATGTGGGGCTCGAACCCACAAACTGTGAGATCATGACCTGAGCCGAAGTCAGACGCTCAACCGACTGAGCCACCCAGGTGCCCCTGCAGTGGTTTTATTTTAACATAATTTTAGATTTACCTAAAAGTTGCGCAGAGTAACTGAAGTATCTTTTTAGATAATACATAAATATATGTGTTTTTGATTTAAAGTCAATACATTTATTTTTTTTTTTTAATTTTTTTTTTTCAACGTTTATTTATTTTTGGGATAGAGAGAGACAGAGCATGAACGGGGGAGGGGCAGAGAGAGAGGGAGACACAGAACCGGAAACAGGCTCCAGGCTCTGAGCCATCAGCCCAGAGCCTGACGCGGGGCTCGAACTCACGGACCGCGAGATCGTGACCTGGCTGAAGTCGGACGCTTAACCGACTGCGCCACCCAGGCGCCCCAAAAGTCAATACATTTAAAGTCAATGAATTTTACATCTGATTCCTTCCGCTGCCAATCACCTTAGTTCCTCCCAAGTCAGAATCAAAATCTTCGAAATAGCCCTTTACAAAAGAATTTTTGTTCAGCCCACAGTTGTCACTATCAGTCCACAATTCTTTTGAACTCCACTTGAATACGGGCATACTTCAGAAATTCCCCACCTGTAGCCTTCGGGACTATACTGTCTTACTTTAGGACCACGTATAGGGTCAGAGTAGATGGATGTGCCTGGTGCTCAACTTCAGACACCCTCTTAACATGAATGAGTTCAGATCATACTCACCCCTGAGCGATCATGCCCTAGAACTGTACAGATTGTTGGGGTATGTCAGTACCTGAGATTTACACAATGTGACTGTTAGGTGTTTCACATAGTTTTTTAGCAGATCTGTGTCCTGCAGTTCTTTCGCTTGGATCCAACACACAGTCCTGTGAGTAAAGGAAACCATACAAATACTCTACGAGGTGTTTCCTCTACGAGGAAAAGCTCCATTGGGATAGACCTCAACAATACATAAATATATTTTTAACTAAAATGGAACAAAATTGTTTTGCAACTTTCCTTCCTTTATTCTAAAATATATGTGGATATTGTTACGTCAGGAAATACATACCTATATGATAATTCTTTTTTTTTTTAATTTTTTAAACATTTTTATTCATTTTTGAGAGAGAGAGAGACGGGCTGTGAGCAGGGGAGGGGCAGAGAGAGAGGGAGACACAGAATCCGAAGCAGGCTCCAGGCTCCAAGCTGTCAGCACAGAGCCGGATGCGGGGCTCGAACTCACAAACCGTGAGATCATGACCTGAGCCAAATTTGGACTCTGAATCGACTGAGCCACCCAGGTGCCCCTCTATGATAATTCTTAATGTCTGCAGAGAAATTACAAATGGACCATAATTTGTATAACAGATTCCTTATTTAAGCTGTGTAGACATGTATGCTATTTATAATTTTTTTCCTATTTAACAAAACGTAGTGATGCTAATGTCGTTAAATAATTTGTATATTTCCCTGTGCATTTTCTTGGTGACAATTTCTAGGAGTTACCAAGTTGAGGGGTAAAGCATTTTTAAAGACTTCCCACGCCCTTGCCAGGTCACCCCGCAAAGCTTTTGTCTTCACACCAGCTGCACATGAATGTGTTTGTTTCATTTGACTCCTGACCACATTGGACATTATCTTTTTCATGTTTTCACACTGGTTGCCAAAAACCGTGTTTTTCCTTTTCCACTGATTTGTATATATTTGGTGACTAGTGAGAGTGAACACTTTTTGTTTTGTTTTGTTTTGGGTTTTTTGTAAATGTTCAGTAACTTCCTATCAGATGTTAAGTAAATGAAACCCTCAAACCTTGGTGAGTGACAGAATGCTAGGTGTAGAAAGTGTCACAGAATGACCTGCAGGGCAGTGGGAAGCCTGGGGCTCTGGCAAATGGGATCTCAAGAAGCAAGAGTAGAAAAATGCATGAGCAGACTTTGGGAAACATTAAAAATGAGGAGCCTCCTTCCGGGCCAGCCTGAGCTTGAGGTGCTCAGAGGACACGCGAATGGAGATTTCCGGGGGCTGTTTGATATGCCCTCTGACCCTGGTTGACCAGCTCTCCAGCAATTCTGCCCCTTCACCTGTCTGACATTATGTGTCATCTGGGAAAATTATATACTGGATGGGAGGGTTTCAGTGAAAATTCATGACCACAAGCCCCACCTGGGCGACTCTGTACTCATGGTTCCACTACACTCTCTGAAATGGTTCCCACTTTTTCAACTCTTCTTGAAATTCATTAAAAATTTTGTGCGTGTGTGTTTATTTTGAGAGAGAGAGAGAGAGACAGAGCACAAGCAGAGAAGGGGCAGAGAGAGAAGGAGAGGGAGAACCCCAAGCACTGCCAGTGCAGAGCCTGATGTGGGGCTCCATCCTGCAGACTGCGAGATCCTGACCTGTGCCGAAATCAAGAGCTCAACCAACTGCGCCACCCAGGTGCCCCTCGAAATTCTTAGATCTCTTCCTCTCCACGTCCCTCTCTTTTCGCTGTCAACCTTGACTTCCAAGCAACTAGATGGGCAAACCCTCATCTCTCCTTCTCCCAAGTCCCACACCCGTCTGGCCCTATAGCCTGTTGTAGGAGTGAGACATCACTGCTCTTCCTCAAGGGCAAGCTGCTTCCTTTCCATCTGCACTATCTGCCTGCTCCTGCCTGCTGCAGGGGGCTGCTTCTGAAGTTAGTCTCTCCCCCTGCTTTGCATCATCTATTTCTTCTACTTCATGGCCTCATTCCCAAGGGCACCCAAACAGGCTGTTTTGTTTCCCACCTTTAAAAGGACCTTTTAGGCTAGTAAGCAGGTGGAAGAGATTTGTCATCAAAAAAATTAAAAATAGAGCTACCCTACGACCCAGGATTTGCACTGCTGGGTGTTCATCCAAAAGATATAAAAATGCTGATTCTAAGGGGCACGGGCACCCCAATGTTTATAGCAGCCCTATCAACAATAGCCAAATTATGGAAAGAGCCCAAATGTCCATTGACTGACGAATGGATAAAGAAGATGTGGATACTACTCGATGATGAAAAAGAATGAAATCTTGCCATTTGCAACAACGTGGATGAAGTGGAGGGTATTATGCTAAGTGAAATAAGTCAGCCAGAGAAAGAGGAATATCATATGATTTCACTCATTTGTGGAACTGAAGAAACAAAACGGATGACCATAGGGGAAGGGAAGGAAAAATATGGTAGAAACAGAGAAGGAGGCAAACCATAAGATACTCTTAAATACAGAGAACAAACTGAGGGCTGCTGGACGGCAGGTGGGTGGGTGGATCAGATGGGTGATGGGCATTAAGGAGGGCACTTGTTGGGATGAGCACTGGGGGTTATATGGAAGTGGTGAATCCCTGGGTTCTACTCCTGAAATCATTATTATGCTATATGTTAACTAACTTGGATTTAAATAAAAATTTTAAAACGTTATATAAAAAAATACTCTTGTAGCTACAATACCATTTCTCTGCTGTTTCCAGGCAAAGCTTCCTGAAACATGTCCACATGTGTTACTGTAGTCTTCTCCATCGCTTTTTAAAATGTGAGGTATAATGTAAAAAAATAAAGAAATAAAATGTGAGCTATAATGTAAAATATAACAGGCATGTAAGAGTACATAAAACACAACTGTATTTGTTTATATATAAATGTATGTGCTAGTTATATAAATATGTGTTTAGAGATTGATGTCTAGACTACAACATCACCTGCACCTTAGAAACCCCCTTAGAAATTCCTGAGTCGCACATCCTTGCCCCCATGGAAATAACCACTTTTTTAAGCCTTGGGCTAATCATCTCTTTCTTTATGGTTTTCCCAGCTTTGTATGTCTCCCTAAACTACATTATATATTTTCTAGTTTGTCTGTTATATGGGACATATCATTGTATGCATCCTAAACTGGTTTGTTTTTTGTTTTGGGGCCTTTTCTTTTGGTTTGGTTTTGTTTTTGCTCAACCTTATTGAATTTCTATTGTATTGATGTGGGTATCTGAATTATGTTCAAAGTAGAGTATGACATTACATGGATATATCCAGACTATGTATCTTTTGTACACTTGAAGGACATTGATGTTGTTTCCAGTCTTTCTATCTTTTGTTAACACGAAACATGCTTCTGTGAATAGTGTTGTAGGCAACTTACTACAAGAGATTATCTAGGGATTTAAGTGGTGGGTAGTAAGTTTGTACATTCTCAGGCTAACTGGATATGGCCAATTTTTCTTGAAGGTCGTTATACAAAGTACATTGCCCAAAGCATTCTGTGAGTATTTCCACTGCTCCGTACTCTTGGCAACCTTAGCATCAGCAGGCTTCTTAATTTTCCAGCTGTTCGATATGAAATGCTCATTCACTATGGTTCTAATGTGTATTTCCCATATTGCTAATAAGGTTAATTGTCTTTCTAAAAAATGTTTATTTATTGAGAGAGAGAAAGAGAGAGAGAGAGAGAGAGAGAGAGAGAGAGAGAATGAGTGTGCTCAGAGGAGGGGCAGAGACAGAAAGGGAGGGAACCCCAAGCAGGCTCCACACGCAGCAACAAGCCCGAGCCCGAGGTGTGGGCACTTGATCTCACACCCCTGAGATCATGACTTCAACCCAAATCCAGAGTCAGATACTTAACCGCAGGTGCCCCAAGGTTAATCATCTTTTCAAATGTTTATTGACCATCTAAGTTTGTTCTTTTGTAAAATTCCTTGTTTGCATCTTCTAGGTTGTTTGTCTTTTCTTATTGAATAATGCGAGTTCTTTTTTTTTTTTTTTTTTTTAAATTTTTTTTTTTTCAACGTTTATTTATTTTTGGGACAGAGAGAGACAAGCATGAACGGGGGAGGGGCAGAGAGAGAGGGAGACACAGAATGTGAAACAGGCTCCAGGCTCTGAGCCATCAGCCCAGAGCCCGATGCGGGGCTCGAACTCACGGACCGCGAGATCGTGACCTGGCTGAAGTCGGACGCTTAACCGACTGCGCCACCCAGGCGCCCCAATGCGAGTTCTTTTTATCCAATAGTATCCATAATATTATATATATTGTATATACCCTGAGCCACTTTATGTCTTATATTTTTACATTCTTTGTGGCATCTTTTTATGAGCAAGTTGTCATTGATTTAAATATAGTCCAATTTATCAATCTTATATTTTATGATAAATGCTTTTTGTGTCTTGTTTAAAAATGTTTTTTTTTTTTTACATTTGTTTATATTTGAGAGGGAGAGAGAGAGACAGAGCATGAGCGAGGGAGGGGCATAGAGAGAGGGAGACGCAGAATCCGAAGCGGGCTCCAGGGTCTGAGCTGTCAGCACAGAGCCCTACGTGGGGCTCCAACCCACGAACCGTGAGATCATGACCTGAGCCGAAGTCAGACACTCAACCGACTGAGCCACCCAGACGCCCCTCGTGTCTTAAGAAAAAAAAAATCGTTGCTTACCTCAGGGTCATAAATACCCTCCATATTTCTCTTAGTGTTTCAAAATTGTGCCTTTTACAACTAAGCTGAGATTTCTCAAATACAAAGGAGGCGAATGGTCCAGTTGCAATGCAAAGATTGGGCTTTTACAAGTTCCGTTACGTGCTGAAATGGTCAAGGTCTACAATTAATCGGTAACTTGATTGTACAGCTAGAAAGTGCAAGGACTCAGAAGACTGCATCTCTTCCCCACTGCACCGTGACTGTCGTCTTACGGTACCAGTTCTTCTATTCGCTTATTTACTACCATTTTGCTCTTCTTTTCCTCTCAAATGTTCCATCTGTATCGCTTTTTTCTGCCTTTACGCATTTCTGTAGGAGTGGACCGTCAGTGGCAACTTCTCGGTCCTTGAAAATATTTCTACTTTGCCCTTGTTCTCAAAAGGTATTTTCGCTGGTCTACAATTTTACGGCGACGGTCGTTTTGTGACGGTACCATTCTGTTGTCCTCTGGCCTCCATGGTTCCTGTTGAGAAACCATCTGAAACCCTAGCTT